ACTGTAGCAAACCCTAGTGAGTGTTTATAAACCCTAATTTATCATAAACCCTAAACCCTCGCTTCTTACCCATGCGCCTCTAACCCTAACTCATCTGCTGCAGGAAATGAAAATCTAGGGTTTAGGGTTTAGGGTTTAGGGTTTAGGGTTTAGGGTTTTTTGTTGTTTTTGCATCACTGCAGAGACCTGTACCAGCGGGCTGTGTTTGGGCCATATGCGTGGGGGCGGAGGTTGTAAGCTACAAACCCTAAACCCTAAACCCTAAACCCTAAACCCTAGATTTAAAACCCTAAACCCTAAACCCTAGATGTAAACCCTAAACCCTTAAATATTGCAGTTTGGATTCTCTTTTTAACGAAGGCGAAGGAAGAGGGTTTAGGGTTTAGGGTTTGTCTCAAAGAAGAGCCACTAGGGTTTAGGGTTTGGGGTTTAGGGTTTAGGGTTTAGGGTTTAGGGTTTGCTGCAGTTGTTCCCGGAGCTACTAAAGGCTGTTCGCTGCCCCGAGATAATTCCGCCCAGCTTCCTCAAGTGAGGGTTTAGGGTTTAGGGTTTAGGGTTTAGGGTTTTGGGGGTAAAGGTCTAGGGTTTAGGGTTTAGGGTTTAGGGTTTGGGGGGTAGAGGCCTAGGGTTTAGGGTTTAGGGTCTGGGTGTACAGAGTGTTTTTGCTTTCGATTGCATATGCAAGGGTTTAAGGTTTAGGGTTTGGGCTCTAGGGTTTAGGGTTTAGGGTTTAGGGTTTGGGGTTTATTAAGCAGCACAGAGAGCGACCCTGATACGCACTAACCCCCCCAAATAAAAAAAGGGTTTAGGGTTAGGGTTTAGGGTTTAGGGTTTAGGGTTTAGGGTTTAGGGTTTAGAGAAAACAAATTGAGGTTCACAGACACCGTATATAAATGCAGCAGCAGCAGCAACAACAGCAGCAGCAGCAACAGCAGCAGCAGCAGCAACGACAGCAGCAGCAATAGCAGCAACAGCAGCACCAACAGCAGCAGCAACAGCAGCAACACCAGCAGCAGCAACAGCAGCACCAACAGCAACACCAGCAGCAACACCAGCAGCAACACCAGCAGCACCAACAGCAGCAGCAACACCAGCAACACCAGCAGCACCAGCAGCAGCACCAACAGCAGCAGCAACAGCAGCAACACCAGCAGCAGCAACAGCAGCACCAACAGCAACACCAGCAGCAGCAACAGCAGCAACAGCAGCACCAACAGCAACAACACCAGCAGCACCAACAGCAGCAGCAACAGCAACAGCAACAGCAGCACCAACAGCAGCAGCAGCAGCAGCAGCAGCAGCAGCAGCAAAGAAAAAATAAAAAAAATATTTGTGTGTGTAGGGTGGAGAACACATACAGCGAGGTTCTCTTTTGTAAATGTTTCGTTAAAAAAAAAACTGTATTCATTTTCAGATTCGGTAAACCCTAAACCCTAAACCCTAAACCCTAAACCCTCAATCCTAAACCCTAAACCCTAACCCTAAACACTTCCTCAATCCTAAACCCTAAACCCTAAACCCTCGATCCTATACCCTAAACCCTCAATTGTAAACCATAAACCCTCAATCCTAAACCCTAAACCCTAAACCCTCAATCCTAAACCCTAAACCGTAAACCCTAAACCCTAAACCCTAAACCCTCAATTGTAAACCCTTAACTCTCAACCCTAAACCCTAAACCCTCACTTGTAAACCCGAAACCCTCAATCCTAAACACTAAACCCTCAACCCTAAACCCTAAACCCTCAATCCTAAACCCTAAACCGTAAACACGGTACCGTAAACCCTAAACCCTAGACCCTCAAATGTAAACCCTAAACCCTAAACCCTGAATCTTATATACTAAACCTTAAACCCTAAACACTGTACCGTAAACCCTAAACCCTAAACCCTTGAGGGAGACAAGCGTCTCTCTCGCTCGTCTCTTTACCAGCCCAGCAGCAGCAGCAACAGCAGCAGCAGCAGCAGCAGCAGCAGCAGCAGCAGCAAGGGTTTGTGTGTGGGGTGTATAGGGTGTATCGTTGCCTGGGACGTCGATGCAGAAGAACAGAAGGTGGGGTTGTTGTTTTTTTTTTTTTATTTTTTATTGTTTATTTTTTTTTTATTTTATTTTTTATTTTTATTTTTTTATTTTATTTTATTTTTATTTTATTTATTTTGTTTTTAGTTTTTATTTTATCTTCTTTATTATTTTTTTATTTTATTTACTATCCATTTTTTATTCTATTTATTTTACTTTTTATTTTATTTATTTATTTATTTTATATATTTATATTTATTTATTTATATTTATTTATTTATTTATTTATTTATTTATTTATTTATTTATTTATTTATTTATTTATTTTCTGTCTCCTTATATAAAACAGAGAAAGAGACAGAACGAATTCTATAGAAATAAAAACACCAAAATTTTTGTTTTTTTTTCTTTTTTTTTCTTTTTTTTATTTATATTTATTTATATTTATTTATATTTATATTTATTTATATTTATTTATATTTATATTTATTTATTTATTTATATTTATATTTATTTATATAGGTTTTAGTTTGTTTTCTGTCTCCTTATACAAAAGAAGCTTTACTATCAAACAGAGGAGACACAACCAGTTCTATAAAACCACAAAAATTTTTGTTTTTTTTTCTTTTTTTTTCTTTTTTTTTCTTTTTTTTTATTTATTTTTATTTATATTTATTTATATTTATTTATTTATTCAGGCTTTAGTTTGTTTTCTGTCTCCTTATACAAAAGAAGCTTTACTATCGAACAGAGAAGAAGATACAATGAGCCATATAAAAACACAAAAATTTTTGTTTTTTTTTCTTTTTTTTTCTTTTTTTTTTCTTTTTTTTCTTTTTTCTTTTTTTTTCTTTTTTTTTAATTTATTTATGTTTATTTATTTATTTATTTATACAGGCATTGGTGTGTTTTCTGTCTCCTTATACAAAAGAAGCTTTACTATCGAACAGAGAAGAAGATACG